TGTCAATGACGGGTACCCGACAGGAGGCCCGTCGCGCGGCAAGAAGGCAGAGTCAGCGGACGAGTCGCAGCGCGTACTGTAGTGATTTCGCGTCAATAGAATGTACCATTGTACGTCCTACATCGCACATCACGCGCTGCGACTCGTCCGCCGACTCTGCCTTCTTGCCGCGCGACGGGCCTCCTGTCGGGTACCCGCCGATTACAGGTACCTTTTAGAAAACCCCTTCCCTCAGACACGCCCATCGCCGACACCTGGAATGGATAATAGTGGCAATGTGTTAGGTGTCCCAAAAGTTCGTGTCACTTTGCCCCTCACGCCACAACATCATTCAGCGATTTATTAGTATGATCAAGTAAGAAAAAAGACACTCCGTGAAGAGACTTGGGAATAATGCTCACCCTATCTGCATTTTTCGCAAGCGCAAGTGCAGAAGCGCCAATGGCTAGATCGATCAGCATGAACTGAAGTTTTGGTCGACCTATGGCAAGCTGTAAGCTGCGGATCAGCCATAGAGACTTCTCCCCAGCTTCGGCCTTGTAGTAATCCGAGTTTACTGTAACCAACCCCTAAGACTGATAAGAAAACTTCAACTAATACACCCGAAAACCAATAAAGGATGTCCGCTCCACGACTGCCGAGATGACGTATCAAAAAGCGCGACTCTAGATCTTGAAACTTAGTTCAGAAGTCCTACCAGATCCACCGTGCAGCGGCTTAGCCCCTTCCGAAGGCTGTTTATTCGTCTTGCTAAGCACTCATCTTGCCGACAAAAATTTGATTCGAAGAAGAACCACGGAATCAACTTCAATGCCTTTTTTCAGCTTAAAAGGTGGATTCTACGATGAAAAGGCACCTCACTGGAAAATGCAGGTTTTCAGTGATGCACGAGAGAATAGAGAACCAAGAAAACGGCAGAACCAAGAAATGGACCCCTTCCTTGCCCGTTGATTTCCGCATTGATGCGACTCTCATCGGTGCTGCCCTCTTCAACGCTAACGCTCTCTGCTAAACGGCTAGAGGGTCAGACAGCGAGAGGAGGCAAACCTCGCCAATAGCCGCCGATAGCGCCGCGGCGAGGGCCATGTTAGATCACTAAGGACATATCCTTCGCTGCTTGTCGGTCCGCACCCTTAGGTGGTCCACCTATCTTCCCACTAGGTAATTTCCCCTTCTTCGACCTTCCACTTTACCGTGGAATCCTCCTTTGCACCGCCGACCTTCTAGGATCGCGGCATCGACTCTCCGGTGAGTCGTTGACAAGTCCTGATAGTGAGTGTTCAATGTACTGATGATAAACATTACCTTTTTATTACTTTTCGAGATATGTTATCTCAAAAAATATTGAGAGTGGCACAATCTTTTGGGACACCCCAATATTTAGAAATGCAGCTGTTACAGTCAGCGCTCGATTTTCGCTTATGACTGCCCTCTTGAACCGGTCATCGAAGCAGTAGAATTACATAATGATTGTCGTTAAAATGATGCCTGTAACTTTGCCCGAATGACCTCTACCTCCTCTAGCGGTACATTAAATTAAAATGGCGAAAATGGATCCCAGGTCTCGGGTTGTTACTGTTTCTCTTGGTTTTTTTTCATCCATGCTTCCACTTCGCAGTACTGCTTTC